AGATTAAATAATAATACAAAAAAATCTTTGAAAAAATGTTCCTGACAAATTAATGTACATTGATCTTAAACAGTGAACCAACAATCCTGACCAAAGTTTCAGAAGAATGATTGAACATTTCTATCACATTAAGGAAAAATATGATTTCAGTGTTTGCCTTAAAAGCTTGTTTAGTTGATTTATTTGTTATTACATATGTATATGTATAAAAATGTGCTGCTTGTAACAAAATACATTTGAAAAAAATTTTTTTCCAAATAAAAGGAGAATAAATTAAAAGAACTAGAAGAAGCTGTAAAAGCCTTGAGAGTAGGGCAGAGGTTCACATCTATCAAATCTTAATATACAGTAAGAACTACGACTAAATGGTTTTAGATAGTCCTAAATCCAATTGAGATACTGTTTGTATGGTATCCATAGAGAAATAAATCAGATTGAACTCAAACTTTTTTTGCAAAGAAAAATGGGTACATATCTTATCTCTAAAGCTGGTGAGAAAAAAAAAAAACTAATTTAGCAAAAAGTATAGTATTTATTTAAAGGAGCTAAATGAAAATGAGTCTCACACTTTTCAGCTTTGTATTTGCAAACCTCCAACAACTTCTTATGAAACTCATTTTACTTCAACCTTCTCAAAATCACATGTTATGTGTCAGTTTATCACATAAAATCCCAAAAGAATCCATAATAAAACAAAATCAAAGTATAAATGTTTAAATGGTGAAAGGTTATTGTAACTTTGTCAAAGCACAGCACATTTCTTTGCAAATGTAATGTTTTTATTTTGTGTGGGGAAAAAACTACTTGTTATTTTTAAATGGCTTCTGTGTGTACCCCAGCTTCAAGACAGACTCCGGGAGAGAGGAATGAATGCCACCCTAAAATGGAGGAAGGATCTCAATAGAGAAACTGTCAAGAAGGAGCTGTAAACTTAGATCTGAATTGTAATCCCAGATGCTTCCAGAATTGTTTGTTTTAAATATGGTATAAATAACATTGTTAGAGCACGGCAGCAGTATGCACTGCTGTTTTTGTCTTTGTTATTAAACTCATGAGTTTAAACTTTGCTGCAGTTTATATATTTCACTCAGGCATACCATTGTATCTACCTTACCAATAATATATTGATTTCTGTTTATGCTATAATAAAGTCCTAAACCCTCAAAGCCAATACTGGGCAGGCCTTATCTCTGCATTTAACACCAAGATATTAGCTGTAGATTTTCCTGTAAGCTGTGAGGAGCAGCCTTAAAACAAGGTAGGTGTCAAGTAAATCAAACAGATGCTTGCTTGATTGAATTACATTTTGTAGAGTTTTAAGATAACGTTAGAGACATTTTGTAAGTTTTAACTGAAAAATATCTTTACAATAGCCTTTTTAGCTGACCCTTTACGACTACAACATTGTTTGATGAGCAGACTGACACCTCGGTCGTTCAGCGATGAGGAATCCTTGAGGTACTTTGGTTCAGATGTTGCCGCGCTTTTTCTGCAGATGTGACGTTAAGCATGTTCATACTAAATAGTTCCAACTTAGCAAACAATCAAAGTGGTATATTAAAGATGGATTTTGTGGATATTTAGTAGCATCCAGTTCAGTTCAGGCAATAAGGGGAACTAAGGGGTGAAAGAAGAAAAAAAAAACCTTGTCAAGTATAAGTTTATGCTATTTTAAATCAATTCTAATCATTTTATTCATACTTCTCAATTGTTCCATGCATATGGCATATACCCAAGATGCTACATACTCCCATATAGACAATTGTTGTTTTGTAGTTGTTGATGATTTGTTTGTTTAATTTGCTTTTTTAGGAAGAATTTGCTGTTGTTATCATTTGATCTGACTATATATAGTAAAAATATATATATTTTGTGCTATGTAATTCAATCAAAAATAAAAAAAAAGTTGATCATGAAAATGAATATTGCTTTCTTACTTGAAACCTTTGGTGTGCCATGTTGTGTATGTATATTCATATCT